TATTTTCGGGCAAGGATTATACGAAAAATCTAACTAATAGTGATGTAGTGAGAAAAAAGAAAGAAAAACACAACAAAAACAGTCCATTTAGATGTAGAATCGAACTATATATGAGTGTATCATCTGCTATCGGTTATAATATTACGTTGATTGTTATGAAATGTGTATTAGTTTAGCACTTCACAAACTCTGCGGTCAATAAACGCGACTAACAGCGAATATAAATAATATTAAAAAAAAATAAAAAAAAATAAAACCAAAAAAGTTTAAGTCGTTAAACGAATGAAACAGTAAAACAACTGGCTTTAGCGCGCCCTATAGATATTATTGATGAGTGTTTATGTGTAGTTGAGCGTAAGAGAAGCGGTTCATTCAATGTCATTCATTTAACTATTGAATACAAATAAAAATCCATTTTCAAAGACTATCAAGTTGTTGGAAAATATTGACAAACTTTTACACAAACATCATATTGCATAGACATGCATCGCATACAACATATCTCATACACATTTATCATATAAATCCTAACTCTTAACAGTTATTATAGAAAGATTTATATTTAAACAAGTATGATTCACACATATATATATATATATATTGTATGTGTATATATGTATGTAAATATGTACAACTTACAAAGGATATTAAGTAAACAGTTTTGTACACATATCACTTTATGTTGGTGCCATATTTACACACAAGCATATAACGCTTTGCTAACGTTTAAGTGTCTATCTCTCTACCTCTCTCTTTCCCTCGCTATCTGAATGCCGCTTATAATATATTTTATACACGGCATCATCATTCAGTCATCAAGTTCTTCACGTTAATCATCACTTATCATCGTATATGCAGTGATTTGTTTGTGTTGTTTTCAAGTTTCCTGTTGACAAATTTCAAGTGCACACAAACACACACACATATATATATATATAAGCACAAATAGATATATCTTTTTTCTTCTTCTTCCTCTTCTTCATCTCCCTAAGTTAAGTAATAATTTTGATAAATATTTACTTAAAACTAGAATAACACATAAACACACATCTCACCAAAAAGCGTAGCGATGGACATAACAGAGGTTTATAAAAACAATTTCTATATAAAAGTTTTAAAAAAGTTTAAGTTGCTTACCGACATTATTTGCATAAACTAATAATACTTAGTTAGAAGACCAACTTTATTAATGTCATATATTTACTATGTTATAGTGCTTGAGACTGACTATTGCTTTAATACACGACTTGTAATATATATGCTTAGTCTTTATTTTCAAAGCATTTTTTCGAAATTGATTTCCTTCAAGTTTATCTGTAATTCTCAAATATTGTGATAGGATAGATGTGGCTGATAATTAGGAATGAATATAATTGCAATAAGCTTACTAAGCATATGGTGAAAAAAAACCAAAATTCTTCCAAAAACTAAAAAAATAACGAAACTTTTTATCAAATATAAACAATATTTTCGGACAAATTAATAAAAAACTATATTATCTATGGAAAAATCAAAATACTTTCAAGAACCAAAATTTTTATGATATGTAAACGGTAATTTCGGACAAATTAATAATGGACTATGTTGGAAAAATCAAAACAATTTCAATAACCAAACTTTTTATGAAATATAAACGATAATTGCGGACAAATTAATAAAAAACTATGTTATCTATGGAAATATCAAAACACTTTCAATAACCAAATTTTTTATCAAATATAAACAATATTTCCGGACAAATTAATAATGGACTAGCTTCGATTTCTCACCAGCTCTTTTTGCGAATTTATTTGATGAATTTCATTTAAAATGATTGCAAGTCATTTTCCAGGAAAAAGGAGAGTTCGCGACTCTGTCATAAATTTCTTTGCCAAAAACTTAGCCGATTGTTTGAAGTTTTATTGGCATATATTTTTTTAGTTGATATCGATTATGGGTGAAGAAATATGGTCGTATTGTATTTTTTTTTTTTCAAATATTCGTTTTTCTAAGAGCTTGCGGCACGGCAACTCTTACCTATTTTTTGAAATTTGAAAAAATGTATTAATGTATTTTTGCAATTGTTAGTTGGCCTTAAAATTTACTTAATTTTCACATCTCTATCACAGATATCAATTATTTCTACAAGTGAAACAAGATGTTCTGCAAGGCAGATTACCGGTGGCTTTTGAACTCGCTGCTGAGTTGGGCGCTTTTGTAGTGCAATGTAAGAATTTGACTCGACGCTATCACCGAAAAGATATTTGATAAAATCTTTTTTCTTTCTTTCTCTTTTTTGCACTCATATCCGAATACAGCTGAGTTAGGTGATTATGATCAAAGACGCCATTCCAAGGGTTATGTATCAGAATTCCGTTTATTACCCAATCAAAGTAACGAATTGGAAAATCGTGTTGCTGAGTTGCATCAACAACTGAAGGGTATGTCGCCAGCGGCCGCCGAATTAAATTATCTGGATAAAGTAAAATGGCATGATATGTACGGTGTCGATTTACATCCAGTATTGGTGAGTTTAATAAATGAAATTTATTAAAAAAAAATTTTCATAAATTCATCCTATGTCGTTATGCAACATTCACACTATTTCTCCTTCTGGCTGCGTACAAAACATTTTCTATTCGGTTGTCGTTCTTCTTTCCTTTTTTTTTTGTTTTTGTTCTTCTTTTGTGCCCGTGCTTGAGAATAATAATAATGTGCAGATAAGAGAGTAATAAAATATAAATAATGACAAAAATGTTAAGTTCTCATAATTTGCAAGAAGCACAACAACATTATACGTTTTGTAATCTTTAACATAATTCATGTTAAACAAGTGTGTCGTACATGTTAATGGAATGTATGCTGAGACATTGCAACAAATAAAGCAGAGAGATAGAGAAGGGGAACATAATAAATGATTCGAGCAGATATTTAACTTGTAGTTAGACAGCTGCACACATGGTACAGTTTAAAGTTCATAAAAGATTAGCTTTAGCTGATGAGATGAGAAACAAGGGATGCCCGTAAAGCATATCTGGTTAGGGATATATTATTATTATTATTATTATTAATATTATGGAAACCTTTTCATAAGCAACAAGAAAAAGATATATAGACTTTCGATTTTCATATGTGGAGCAAAGGTAGATAAACAAATGCTTGTGTTGGCAAAACTGAAAGGAACTTCATATATGTACAGAGGGCAAATAGAACACAGAGTACAACATTCTCCAGCCAGATAATTAACTAAAATTTTCTGACGAGAAAATTTAAAAAATATTTCGTCGAGAATTGAATCCAAAAGCCACATAATCAAATTGAAATGTAACTTTCTCTACTATACGGGGTTTAGATAAACTTTTATAGAAAATGCTAAAGGGTCAGAAAGCTGATGTCCAAAGCTAGGAATTTAACCAGAACTTCATATCTTAACTTAATCTTCATAGACTCAAGATTATATATATTAGGTATTGCGAATGACATTTGGTACTGGTAAGCACGGGTATGCGTTACGAAGAGTTTGAAATTAATTGTAACATTCTTGAGCATAACAATGGTACCCATAGTTCAGACTATAACACTTGTGGGCTGTCAACATTTGGCTGCATAATCACTTTAGCATTGGGAATATCCTCGATTGTCAACCAATTTTTCTCCATTAATTTTCAATTTCCAACGAGAAGTATTAGCATAACAATGCGCTGTGCTCCAGCTACACTAGTAGAGGGCAAAGAAATTTGTAAGAGCTATTCTGACACTCCCGACAGCTTCTCCATGAAGACCTCGAGCTCTTGTGGGAAATTAGCTTTTTTTTTTAAATCTTGCATTATCTAGCAAGTTGCGTTCATCTAAGGAGTGAAGTACCCTTAAAATTTTATTTCGCTAAATTAACGATAGGTTGCCAGCAAAAGTATTATAACATCTCGAGTAAGTCTGTAAAAGCCTTACTACCTAGGTAATAAATCGAATATGAGAACGAACTAATCACTGCTTATGTAATTCAGCAAAATAAAGCATTAGCGTTACCCTTATGTATTGCTTGCATTGTTAATTAACCAAATATGTAGCACTACTTTCAGAAATCCTTTAAAGTACACCTTAAGCGATTTATAGCCATAACATTACAGGTTCAATTGCGGGCCTCTTCATTTCTCTTTGAAATTTATAGCGTTCTGTTAAACTATATTTTTACTTATTTTGCTTTTCTTTTTTTTTTTTTTTTTTTTTTATATATGCTTGACTTAACTGACTTAATAGCGTACACTTAAAAAAGTATTCTACGTATAAGTAAAACTTTTCCCTTTTCAGATAATAATGATAATAATAATAATAGCTTAACTTAAGTTTTCGAACAAGTAATGGTTTTATTTAAACTCTTAAAAACACTTTATTTTTCTTTTCATTTCCTATTTAGGGTGAAGATAGCGTTGAATATTTTCTGGGACTGACTCCAAGCGGTATTGTTGTCTTACGTAATAAGACCACGGTGGCTCATTATTATTGGCCACGCATAGCCAAAGTTTATTATAAAGGACGCTATTTTATGCTGCGCATAAGTGATAAAAACGTAAGTTTCACTGAATATAACGATAAGCTTCTCACTGCAGGTGCAAAACATGTAAATTTATGTAAGGGATGAGAGAGTTTTTTTTTATTTTCTTTTCAAACACTACTATTATATATAAACTCTGTTAACATTAGTAAACAGCATGGAATACCTAAGGTGTTGTTATGATTTACATACGCATAGGCTTAACTCAGAAATGAACAAAAAATCTAAAGAATTTTTTTCTATGAGAACTTGGGAATCATAGGAAAATGGGAAGCATAGTGTAAGTCTAGGGATAACGCAAAGTAACAACTTGGTGATTATAGACTCCCAATTAATTTCAATGATAAAATTTATGAAACCTTGTCTCTTGGTCTCACTAATGTGCCTATAATCAATAATCTAATCAGAAAAAACAAGAAGATCGATCTTGAACTAGTTCCACTACTTGCTGACAATCGCATGTGATCGATTGTAGTCTTCTCATTTTTGCTGTTCGCAATCATAATCGACGCGGTTCCGAATGAACTTTTTTTTTTACCTCTTAAATCACGTAGTTTGTTCCCAAGGGCTATTTAAAATTAAAGGGCTAAAAGCGTAGGTTAAGGTTAAAAAGATTATATTGTCAGTGAAAAATATGGAAATTTTTTTTTCAAACCATATATGTAGATACAATTATATTATTTTTGATTGATATCTTTCAGGGACGAAATTTTTTTCTTATACACATCACGTGAAAGTTGGTTAGTAAGTCAAAGCTATCCGCACGCAGCGGATTCTCATTTATTTAATGTATTGTTTGCCACGGGAATATGAACCTGGAGCCGATTTGTCATTCCGAAATATGTGACAGAAACTGCATAAAATATGTATATTTTCCTGTATTGCCAGGTAGCGCGCCTTAATTTCTCCCTTTTCGTATAGGAATGAGAAATCTTTTAATAAATCTAAATAATGACCAAAAAATCCAATTAGTTTTGCTTTTAAAAACAGCATTGTTGTCGATTAATGTTGTATTGACGTCCGAAGGTCCTTCGACCGATTTAGTTCGTTTTTATTAACCGATCAGTATGCAAGCATAATTTTTAGTGCCGGGAGAGCATGTACCGCATGTAGACAGTTAAAGAAACAAGCGAACGGAGAAACGTAACTTGCTCGACTCACAATTTGATAATGATCAAGAAAATATATATATATATATATGTATGAAGCTTCGGACTTTTTTCACAACATAATCCAACGCATAATGATGATAGCTATATAAAAATAGAAGAAACACCTTTCCAATACAATAACCTTAGCAAACACTATAATTTTGCATAAATTCGTTTCATATTAAGAGATGAGAAGGCGCCAAAGGCGTTTATCTTCGATCAGCGTATATTCAGAGTCTTTGAAAGTATGCTCGCTGTTTAGTCAGCCCTTCTAAACTTTCTAGCTAGTATAGGGATTCTCGCATCATTTCGAAATTTGAAGGAAGCAATTATGACTCGGATTTAAATCTAACAGATCAGGTTTAAGAACATCCAGAATTTCATCAACAGAAAAACGTTAAAATTATCAAATGATGAGAATTGAAGAATTTTAAAAGAATTTAAGAATAACTTGTAAACCCAAACAGATGTTTAATTGGTCTACTGATATGCTTTCAAGCTTAGACTCTTAACAAGTTTGAGCAAAAAAAAAAAAAAACATTTTTTCCTCTATAAAAGAATGTGAAGATGAAAGCGAAGTGATTCAAAATAATAAAGAAGAAAAATAATTCACTTTAAAAATTAAAAACTTTATAACAAATTTTTTTCATACTTCAAAAAAAAAAAAAAGAAAAAATCGTTTAACGACTTTTTGTAGATATACCAAAAAGAGAGCTTTTTGCATTTTTCATTTTCTATTTATTTTTTTCTTATTTGCTTTGACAACATAAAACTTATATCCTCCTGTTCTCTCACGTATTCAGAACGAGTTGAGCACTTATGGTTTCGAAACGCCACGTAAATCAGCGTGTAAGCACTTGTGGCGCTGTTGTGTGGAGCATCATGCATTTTTTCGTTTAATGCGTGTACCGCCGCCTATTTTACCAAATTCACCATCAAATACCTCGGATATCTTTCAGCTGGGCTCGCGACTCAAGTGCAGGTATGTGAAATTATTTTTTCTCTTTTTTTTCATTTTTTTTTTCTTTTTTTTTTTTCAACGACTACAACACGTGAAAGTGTTGTATGATTTGTTATTTGTTGACGCTTTGAATGAAAGAGAGACGCACAAGTGTTAGGCATGGTAAATCTTTTTTAATGATAGATAACGTACTTATGAAAGAGTTTGATAACTAAAAGATAAATTTCAAAGAGACGCTATTTTGGATCATTAGTTGATCGTTGAGTTTCTTTATATCAAAGCTTTGCTTTCATGGTTCGGCGCATTGAGAACAGCTTTTATTTCATTCCATTTCTAATTATGCAGTTGAGGTTAAGGTTGTTATTATATCTAAGTATTTATGTATTTTTTTTTTTTTCTTCTTTACTATGGTTTTACTTTAAATAAATAGCCACAACCGCAATGTTTTTAAGTATTTTATGTTTGCATGAATTTTATGTTTCCCAGTTATGGTTGTTTTATTCCAAATACACACACCCATCTTCTCATCGCTTTTGTTCCCTTGTCCCGTTCCTCTTAAGTAATTTCTAGGTTTTTCATTTATTCATTTATTTTTTTTTTTTTTTCTTTTGATATTTGTATACCTCCTATGGTTCACTTTATGACCCAGACACACGTTGCGATAAATTTGTGGTTTTTGCTTTTATGGTGATTTATGAAGCGGTCTATATATATATATATATATATATATATATATATATCGTTATATATATATCTTTTTTTATTTCTTTTGCTTTCTTTCGTTACTGCCGCCATTCACCATTTGTTCTATTCCAGTTGTTAATTTATATTTAGCAAAATAAATGCAAAAAAAAAAAAAAACGCTTTAACAAACAAAAAAAATAAAAAAATATTAATTATTTTACTCTTTTCTCCCTTATTTTTATTGTTGTTGTTGTTGTTTTTTTTTTTTTTTTTTTTTTTTTTTTTTAGCAAAGAAAAATCTACGAAAGATGCTTTATTTATAAATCGTACTCCGCCAGCTTTTATACGCGTACCCTCAAAACGTCAACCCAGACGTATAATTGATGATTTTTTACGTGACAGTAAAACGGCAGAACACTATGCGAGTTCAACACTTTTAACAAAGAATTCAAGGTAAGTAAGTGCATGCACGCCATAAATAAATCAAACGACATTGACATTGAAAAGCCTCCCCGTCGTTGTCTACTTAGTTACACTGTAAACTAAAACTTAAGCTTTGAAGAGAAAGTACTTGAATTATTGTTGTTATTAGAGCTCATTAAGACGTTAGTTTGCTCCGAACGACTGAATTAAGTAATGGCTGCTAACCAACATGTTTAGACTAAAAAACAAGCATAAACAAAAAACAAGCATAACAAACAAACAAACCTATAGTCGGAGAAGGGCGAGCATTAAATATTTTACATCACTTCGCCTAGTACATCTATTTGCGCGTTTCAGTAATAACACATCCAATAGTTTGCATGATTTTCATGCAAAGGCAGATTTTGCACTTGTGGTATAGAGTATATTAAGTTTGTCCGGACGTACGTATGTATGCGGGCCTAAGCTAGACCCACCTTTTATTATACCGATCAATTCAGAAAATGATGTTCTGAATCTAGCCTTGTCCTTGTACCCTTCTTATTGTCCTCAAGGATATTCCTAAGAGAAATTAATCTACCATAGCGTGGAGTCCATCATAATTAATTTAGAATTAACACGCTTACCTTGTCGCCTTCTACTCGTTGAAGTCGTTTTAGACCATCATATTTACTTTAGAATTAACGCATTTTTAAGCAGATAATATATCTTCATTTGAGCAACTTGTAACTTTATATGGGCATGAATGATTTTTCCCACTTTTGCACATAAGAGTAGTTAATGTGAGAGATCTCAGCCTTCTATCTTTGTTAATTTGTGAGTAATGAGCAAAAACCCACAAATTTGTGTTTAGAAAAACGGCGGAGCGTTCAGTTTACACTTCACTGCGGGTTTGTGCTTTGAGCAATAGTAACCTTTGTGCAAAAATTTTTAGTCGATATCTTCATTTTTGCGACCAGGAAGTTGTCAACAATACATACCACACAAACACACAGACGGACAGACATGGCTTAACCGATTGAGAATTTCATGCTGGTGAAGAAAATATATACTTTATACGGTCTCTGAAGCTTTCTTTTGGGTAAATATTACGACAAAAAGAGTATATCCGCCACCCTACACCCAACACTGGTAGTTATAAAAACAAATATTCAACTCAATCAAGGCCCATTATTGCCGTGTGCTACGGATGCAGAGTCATTCTCTGAATCGATCTAAGCTAGTCTGTACGTCTGTTGTCCGTCAAAGTACTTTTTGGCCGTAAGTATCTCAGAGGAAAATTTAATTTTTAGTATCTTATGATGAAAATTGGTTCTTAGTAGCAACTTAGCATAAAAATTAGGGAATTCGGTTCATAGAGGCCTATTTTTTAGACGCCAGCATATATAGGGTCACGAAAAGTTTTTATATGGAGAGAATTATTAATATTTTTCTAGTTTGGAAAATAATAAAATTTGTAGGAAATAGATAGTGGTTGGGTCAAGTCATGTGATATTTTGAGAATCCTCCAGCCTGGGGGCTTTCATGAAAGGCGTGATGTCTAATGGGCGTGCCCGTTCTTACTTGGTTTGAAAAGTCGTTATATGCATAAATGTATTAAGCGAAGTTGCCTAAGGTATTTTAGGATGGCCCGTGGCCCACTGTAATCTTTTTACTTGTGTTTCTTGAAGAGAGACTCCAATAGATTATAAATTGACTTAAATCCAATAGATTGCGATTGCGAAATTGACATGTGTAAACAAAAATATAGATAAGCTATTAGAGTTACAAAAAACAATGAATAAATATATCTATGGAAGAATCTGGATTGAAATAAACACACTGTCCATCTAAATTATTAAATTAGTTGACAAGTAACTTTCAAAGCTAAGAGAGAGAGAGAGAGAGAGAGAGAGAGAGAGAGTGTAAATATTAGCTTGAAAATGTTTTTCACTACGCCTTTGTTACGCAGATTCATAAAAAGGCAAGTGCCCATCATTGAAAGCATGCGCTAGCAAAGGCAATAGAAAAACGGGATTTGAATCACTTCCGTTCTAGAAAGTTCGAGGACACTAAATGGACAATTAGGCGCACAATAATAACCTATCACAAAGCGAAGACTATAGATCCGAACTTTTCCTACTAACAGCTATAGCAACTATATCTAGCAATGGAGAGGTCATTCCTTGCCCGTAGAAGTGTTGTAACATATGCTTTTCTTTTGAAAGCCGAATACTATTGAAAATGTCTTTTTGATCAATCTTCTGATCA